AAATTTAAACACGCAAAATTCAATGACCAAATAGTCCATAGAATATTCAAATCATAGAAAAGATGATAACTCCACTTCGCATGTAATTATAACAGCATATGCACAATTAAGATTTGAAAAATACACTTTCTAATAATCAACTGGTTTTTAGTAAGTTCCGTTTTGTTCAGGTATTTTCTATGAAAGAGGGTGTTAATTTATTGATATTCGCACATGAAGAAGAAAGTCTAGCTAGTATCCGGCCGGACGCCCATACAGTTTATCTACAAATTTAGAATGTCAGAAATGTTGAAAAAAAAATTAAGTTGGGAACACTTGAATCGCGAAATTTAATGCCTTTTTTCATATGCCATTAATTATTGAAATCGTGAAAACTGAAGAGATAAGAGCCCGCGAAAACCTGCCACGAATGTAACCACGAAATTCATTACCGATTAGGTTTTAAAAACTCTTTGTCCTACTTTTCTTTCAGGCGTTCCTTGTCCACTGGACTGGGTGCGATTTAAGGGATACTGTTATCTTGTCAGTAGCTCTATCCAGACTTGGCAATATGCTCAAGCGTACTGTAAAGAACTGGGAGGAAATCTGGTGAAAATTAACAGCAAGGAGGAAAACGAGTTTGTACTAAACCTGGTAAACAAGCTCGCCCCATCGTTGAAGCAGATTTGGATCGGACTCGAGTGGGATTCTCACCTAAAGGCCTTCGTGTGGTACGATCATTCAGTTCCTACCTTCACCAAATGGTCGCCAAATGAACCAAATGGGAATGGTGCGGAGCCTTGTAGCAACATGTGGACTGGTCACGTAGGGGTTTCTTATAGGGCATCTGGCGACTGGAATGATCTCACCTGTTGGAATACTGGTTTTCCCTGTGGTCTTGTCTGCAAGAGGCTGCCCTAGATGTTAAGCCAGCTTCACTCCCGATCAAAGCCGAAAGTAGAGTGTAGTGGAAAAATTAATGCAGATTCTGGGTCGACATTTTAAAATGCAGACAAGAAAACATTTTAGTGCTAATTTCTAAAGGGTTAAAAAAAGCGGCTTGTGACTGAAATAAACATTATGTATCTCTTGTGTCTTGTTTGGTTTTTCTTTTATGTGGAGAATTTTTTTTTCTGGCCCATTTAGGTCTTTCAGTAGCAGATCCAGACCTTCAGATAACGGGACAGGGGCGCGAAGGGGGAAGACCGGTCATCTAGACCCTGACATAAGAGAGGGGACTGGTCTCCAAAAAATTTTTGTTTTCGGTCCTTAGGGCCTCAGTTTGGTCTAAAAATAAGGGGCTGGGTCCCGGGCCTCCCGTGCCCCTTCCCTGGATCCGCAATTTTACAACTCAAGAGACGTTCGCAGAAGTGCTGCTCACTGATTTTATATCGTTTCAAAAATACTCTTTACAACCATTTGACAGGCATTGTGGGAAAGCGTAAAAATAGCAAAGGATGGAGCAAAGTAGGAATATCCGTACTTGTGCTGATAAGATTGTTCAGACTGTTCAAGGGAAGACAACCTTATCGCCTGAAGATCCATTTGAAAACATTGAGGAGATCCTTATCTAAAAGCTAATTGGCAGCGCAATCGAGTTGCGGTTGCTTATATTAGTATACTTTTAATAGATGTTATGTTGCTAACATTATCGAACACAGTTCAGCCATTTTTTGTTGGGTTTCCATCGGCCGTTACGGTTAAGTAAAATTCAGAAACGGAAGTTTAAAAAACGAGCACAAGTGTACTTGATCTGCGAAATTTAATTACCTTGAAAAACGGTGATTCGTCAAAATCGCGAAATTGGAGTCCCGCGAAATATTCCTATTCCAAATTCGCGAAATTAAAGTCGCGCGAAAATAAGTGATAATCAGGTAAACAAAGACCTGTTAGGCACTTCTGTTTGACTTCCGCTGCAGTAAGGTTTAATTATCTCGTCGAAAATGATAAAATAGTCTTGGAGAAACAGACAGTTATCATCCTTTTTCACTTTTTCTGCGTGATTTGGTTTGAAAGTCATTGTTGATATTTATTAAAAAGTTGTGATGCGTGTAAAAGTATAAAGAGGTTTCAAATTACGTATGCAAATTTAATTATATTTTTAAAACAAAATTCAAAGTCAGCGTTTTATGTTTTGCTTAGAACGGTACATTTTTTAGATTTATGAAATTAGCTGTTCACCTTTAGCTAGGTTATATAAATGTTATGTAAAACATTTATTTACCATTTTGACAACTATTAACACCATATTTCTCATTCGCCGTTGCGACTGATCCTGACGCGACCCGACGCAAGTTATGTACCAGAAACAAACGCATTTTATGATTAAGAGAGTAGCCTTTATATTAAAAAATATGCAGACTCAATTGTCCAAAAGTTCAGATAAGCAACCAATTGTTGTTTTTTTTTTTCGGGAAAAATTGAAACTTTTACTCGTCAAAGTGTAAGATAAGGGGTGCACGCGCATGAAAGCACTGACGGGCGGTGTGAATTTCTGCAGATGCGAAAAAGTAAATTGCTTTCTCAAAATCCTTTTGACTGCTGATGAATATTCAAAAATTTTGTATTTTTCTTCCGTAACTGAAAAGGAAAAATCAAGTTTCGGTGACTTTTGTGCAGTGCTTCTAGCTTTAATTTAGATAACACGCCCTGCGTGCTTTTGTGTACGCTGAATACATGGTGTGCTATTTCGCACGCAGCTGTTGTGTAAAAACTTTAACACGCGTTTTCTCCTTTTTAACTTGCTCACGCTTAATTGTCTCAAGCGTGTCCTCTAAAACAAAAGAAATTGCTAATGAGACAAGATGGCGAGCGACCTAAAGCGTGTTAAAATGAATCGTTTTGTTAATGGAAGCGTTTCGTAAGCGTGCTTTCACCTTTAGCATCAAAATCCTGTGGAGGTCACATATTACGGCCATTTATACGAGGAAAAATAAGACGCGTCTTAAATAAGACGCGAACTGTACCATTTATACGAGCATGTCTTATCTAATAAGACGCGTCTTAGCTAAGCCGCGTCTTATTTTAGACGAAATGTGCCGTTTATACGGAAAGTTCGCGTCTCATGTAAGACGCGTCTTATTTTTCCTCGTATAAATGGCCCTATTGTTGCTAGTAAAACTAGACCGCGTAATACTGCATCCTCAAATTAAAGCTTCAACTCGCTGTTCGGATGATCATGGTCTCGCCTCGTGATCTTTCCGTCTATCATAATGATCCTATCTGAACTCGTTTATTCAGCTTCATCCTTCAATGAATCATCACTTTGACAGAGCCTGTGAGAAACAAGAACTCAAAAGAACAGCTCAGCAATTCCCTGACCGCTGGTGAGACCGAATCAGCCGCCGAATCCGAGCTCAAAAGACCTAGGTATAGTGTAATTTTTCCATACCACCATACAGAGTTATGTTCGCCCGGACCTAGCAAATCAGCAAAAGCACTAACTCAGGGGAAAGCAAAAAGCTAATTAGGAAATTGGTCGGAATAATACTTTGTACATCTATTTATCACAATAGCGTGAGCCTCTGTATGATACCTGGGAACGTCGTTTTCGTCGCGTTCAGTTTTCCACCAAATCGTCGATTTTACAAAGAAATCATTTCCGTATCAAGCGAAATTGTTTTACGTGGTATTAAACGCTACTGGCGAGTGCAACCACGTGGCGACGGCGACAATGACAGAGACGAGAAAATAGAAAAGAAACAGATTTAATATGCAAAATAAAAACACTCAATGCCTTCATCACACAAAAAATAGGGACATTAGGGACCTTAAGCAAGGACGACGACTCGTTGGCTCGAAGATATTAGCACTTGAGTGCTACACTGTAAATTCGAGGGTAAATAAAGTTTATTGATTGATTGATTGATTTGACGACGACGACAGTGAAAACGTCAGTAAAAAAATGAATTTGCTTCCTCTCAAACTCAATCCCGTCTATTTGGACCCATTCAATATGTCAAATGTAGGCGTCTTTTCCTGGAGTTAAATTCTTAAGGATTTTATTCAGGTTAAAAAAGAGATAGGAAAATTCGTCGTCGTATGTCCACGTCCTCTATAAAACGTCAAATAAGAAGGTTTCACGTAATAGTCATGCAGTGGACGTAGAAATGTACTAAAAAACGTGATGCAGGTACAGAGCTGTTGTTTTGATCATTAAACCTATTGTTTTTTGTGAAGTCGTCGTTGTGGTCAACGTCAATCAGCTGTAAAACGAGGCCGCATCGGAATGGCAATGCGACTGTTGTTTTAGTCTCTCGTCTTTCATCACTATACGTTGCGGCTTCGATTTCGTCAGAAATACTTCTCCAAAATCTTGGTTATGACATGTAACGGTACCTTCAACAACAATTCAATTTAAAAACTGTCTCGGCTAAAAATGTGATTCTATTAGAATAAGATACATTTTTTGGTTAAGGTTGCAATTTCCAGTCACTAGTAGTGACTCTTTCACAAATTGAAGATTCTACTAAGATATTGTTGATTTATGTGAGTGCAATTTTTCTTGCAGTTCAGACAAGCAGTGTAATTAAACGAAGTGTTGGTAATGACACAACACTTGCAAAACTGCGAGATATCGAGCGAATACTTGGTGAGTAAAGTTGATCCTGCAAAAAGTAAACCCTCTTTTTTTCCCCCGAATTTTGAGATAGCTTTCACGAACTGATAGTAAGACTTTGGTCAATTTTTCTTCCAGTCTCTTCTTTCAAACAACAGTACGTATATTGGTACTTATTTTGACGCTGTTCAGTTTTATAATTTTAAAATTTTAAATTTAAACACGCAAAATTCAATGACCAAATAGTCCATAGAATATTCAAATCATAGAAAAGATGATAACTCCACTTCGCATGTAATTATAACAGCATATGCACAATTAAGATTTGAAAAATACACTTTCTAATAATCAACTGGTTTTTAGTAAGTTCCGTTTTGTTCAGGTATTTTCTATGAAAGAGGGTGTTAATTTATTGATATTCGCACATGAAGAAGAAAGTCTAGCTAGTATCCGGCCGGACGCCCATACAGTTTATCTACAAATTTAGAATGTCAGAAATGTTGNCAATTCCCTGACCGCTGGTGAGACCGAATCCGAGATGAAACTGTTTTCGGCTATTCTAGCCATATATTTGGCACTTTTATGCGCAACAGACCTAGGTATAGTGTAATTTTTCCACACCACCATACAGATATTTTTATTCGTTGACCTAGCAAACCAGCAAAAGAACTAACTCATGGGAAAAGCAAATTGCTCAGAACACCTATACTTAGGAAATTGGTCACATGGAATAATACTACATTTATTGATCACAATATCGTGAGCCTCTGTATGACACCTGGGAACGTCGTTTTCGTCGCGTTCAGTTTTCCACCAAATCGTCGATTTTACAAAGAAATCATTTCCGTATCAAGCGAAATTGTTTTGCGTGGTATTAAACGCTACTGGCGAGCGGAACAACGTAGAGACGGCCACAACGACAAAGACGAGAAAATAGAAAAGAAACAGATTTAATAAGCAAAATAAAAGCACTCAATGCCTTCAGCGCAGGAAAATGTTGTAAAACACAAAAAAGTAGCCGAATCGGAATGGTAATGCGACTGTTGTTTTAGTCTGACTCTAAAATCGTCATTTCATCATTAGCGATCGTTGCGGCTTCGATTTCGTCAGAAACACTTCTCCAAAATCTTGGTTATGATCACTGCATCGGCTACAAATAAGATACTTGTCTATTAGCATTTTTCCTTGAAAAGGTGCAATTTCCAGTCACTAGTACTCTTTCACAAATTGAAGATCGTACTTAGATATTGATTAGATATATGAGTGCAATTTTTCTTGCAGTTCAGACGGGCAGTGTAATTAAACGTGTTGTAATTGGTAATGACGCAGTAGTTGCAAAACTGCAAGATATCGAGCGAATACTTGGTGAGTAAAGTTGATCCAGCAAAAAATAAACCCTTTTTTTTTCCCCGAATTTAGAGATAGCTTTCACGCACTGATAGTTAGACTTTGGTCAATTTTTCTTCCAGTTTCTTCTTTCAAACAACAGTACGTATATTGGTAATTATTTTGGCGCTGTTCAGTTTTATAATTTGGCGTTAAGCGCGAAAAAGATTCCTCTTCAAATTTAAACACGCAAAATTCAATGACCAAATAGTCCATAGAATATTCAAATCATAGAAAAGATGATAACTCCACTTCGCATGTAATTATAACAGCATATGCACCATTAAGATTTGAAAAAGACACTTATAATCAACTGGTTTTTAGTAAGTTCCGTTTTGTTTAGGTATTTTATATGAAAGAGGGTGTTAATTTATTGATATTCGCACATGAAGAAGAAAGTGTTGCTAGTATCCGGCCGGACGCCCATACAGTTTATCTACATATTTAGAATGTCAGAAATGTTGAAAAAAAAAATTAAGTTGGGAACACTTGAATCGCGAAATTTAATGCCTTTTTTCATATGCCATTCATTATTGAAATCGTGAAAACTGAAGAGATAAGAGCCCGCGAAAGCCACGAATGTAACCACGAAAGTCATTACCGATTAGGTTTTAAAAACTCTTTGTCCTACTTTTCTTTCAGGCGTTCCTTGTCCACATGGCTGGGTGCGATTTAAGGCATACTGCTATCTTGTCAGTAGCGCTATCAAGACTTGGCAAAATGCCCAAGCGTACTGTAAAGAACTGGGAGGAAATCTGGTGAAAATAAACAGCCAGGACGAAAACGAGTTTGTACTAAACCTGGTAAACAAGCTCGCCCCATCGCTGAAGCAGATTTGGATCGGACTCGAGTGGGACTCTCGCGTAAAGGCCTTCGTGTGGTACGATCATTCTGTTCCTACATTCACCAAATGGTCCCCAAATGAACCAAATGGAAATGCTAAGGAGCCTTGTAGCAACATGTGGACTGGTCACGCAGGGGTTTCTTATAGGGCATCTGGCGACTGGAATGACCTCACTTGTTGGAATACTGGTTTACCCTGTGGTCTTGTCTGCAAGAGGCTGCCCTAGATGTTAAGCCAGCTTCACTCCCGATCAAAGCCGAAAGTAGAGTGTAGTGGAAAAATTAATGCAGATTCTGGGTCGACATTTTAAAATGCAGACAACAAAACATTTTAGTGCTAATTTCTAAAGGGTTAAAAAAAAAGCGGCTTGTGACTGAAATAAACATTATGTATCTCTTGTGTCTTGTTTGTTTTTTCTTTTATGTAGAAGATTCTTTTTTCTGGCCCATTTAGGTCTTTCAGTGGCAGATCCAGACCTTCAGATAACGGGACAAGGGCGAGAGGGGGGAAGGCCGGTCATCTAGACCCTGACACAAGAGAGGGGACTGGTCTCCAAAAAATTTTTGTTTTCGGTCCTTAGGGCCTCAGTTTGGTCTAAAAATAAGGGGCTGGGTCCCGGGCCTCCCATGCCCCTTCCCTGGATCCGCAATTCTACAACTCAAGAGACGTTCGCAGAAGTGCTGCTCACTGATTTTATATCGTTTCAAAAATGCTCTTTACAACCATTTGACAGGCAGTGTGGGCAAGCGTAAAAATTACAAAGGATGGAGCAAAGTAGGAATATCCGTACTTGTTCTGATTGTTCAGACTGTTCAAGGGAAGACAACCTTATCGCCTGAAGATCCATTTGAAAACATTGAGGCGATCCTTATCTAAAAGCTAATTGGCAGCGCAATCGAGTTGCGGTTGCTTATATTAGTATACTTTTAAAAGATGTTATGTTGCTAACATTACCGAACACAGTTCAGCCATTTGTGGTTGGGTTTCCATCGGCCGTTACGGTTAAGTAAAATTCAGAAACGGAAGTTTAAAAAACGAGCACAAGTGTACTTGATCTGCGAAATTTAATTACCTTGAAAAACGGTGATTCGTCAAAATCGCGAAACTCAAGTCGCGCGAAAATAAGTGATAATCAGGTAAACAAAGACTGGCACTTTTGTTTGACTTCCGCTGCAGTAAGGTTTAATTATCTCGTCGAAAATGATAAAATAGTCTTGGAGAAACAGACGGTTATCATCCTTTTTCTTTTTTTCTGCGTGTTTTAGTTTGAAAGTCATTGTTGATATTTATTAAAAAGTTGCGATGCGTGTAAAAGTATAAAGAGGTTTCAAATTACGTATGCAAATTTAATAATATTTTTAAAACAAAATTTCCAAGTCAGCGTTTTATGTTTTGCTTAGAACGGTGCACTTGGAGATTTATGAAATTAGCTGTTCACCTTTAGCCAGGTTATATTTATTTATATTTATATTTATTTACCATTTTGACAACTATTAACACCATATTTCTCATTCGCCATCGCGACTGATCCTGACGCGACCCGACGCATTTTATGATTAAGAAGGTAGCCTTCATATTAAAAAATATATAGACACAATTGTCCAAAAGTTCAGATAAGCAGCCAATTGTTGTTGTTTTTTTCGGCTAAAAGTGAAACTTTTACTCATCAAAGTGTAAGATAAGGGGTGGACGCGCATGAAAGCACTGACGGGAGGTGTGAATTTCTGCAGGTGCGAAAAAGTAAAGTCGACTGATGAATATTCAAAACTTAGGTATTTTCTTTCCGTAACTGAAAATTCGAGACTCGATTTTTCCGTCTAACAGGGGAAAATCAAGTTTCGGGTACTTTTCAGCAGTGCTGTAGCTTTAGATAACACGCTTTGCGTGATTTTGTGCACGTTGAAAGGGTGTTGTGCTATTTCGCACGCAGCTGTTGTGTAAAAACTTTGATACGCGTTTTCTGTTTTTTAACTTGCTCACCCCTAATTGTCTCAAGCGTGTCCTCTAAAACATAAGAAATTGCTAATGATGCAAGATGGCTAGCCTGCTAAAAGCCTTATATTTGGCGCTTTTAAGAGCAACAGACGTAGGTATAGTGTAATTTTTCCATACCACCATACCGAGTAATGTTCGCCCGGACCTGGCAAATCAGCAAAAGAACTAACTCAGGGGAAAGCAAAAACGACTAAGAACTCCTATAATTAGGAAATTGGTCACACGGTATAATACTACATCTATTTATCACAATATTGTGAGCCTCTGTATGATACCCGGGAACGTCGTTTTCGTCGCGTTCAGTTTTCCACCAAATCGTCGATTTTACAAAGAAATCATTTCCGTATCAAGCGAAATTTTTTTGCGTGGTATTAAACGCTGCTGGCGAGAACAACGTAGCGACGGCGACGACGACAAAGACGAGAAAATAGAAAAGAAACAGATTTAATAAGCAAAATAAAAACACTCAATTCCTTCATCGCACGAAAAATGTTGTAAAACACTTCAGTTTTTTAATGAGTTTGGAGGTCCTGCCAAATGTCGGTAGCCATATAAGGGAGATTGATTGTTTGTCTAAGGTTTTTTCGTACGCTTTGGAATATTGTTTTTGAAAAACGTTTACAAAATGGAAGTTTTTTTATCACGGCTTCAAAGTACTAGGCTACCAAAGAACCAATCGGAAAAGCGCGGGAACCATGCTAGCAGTCCATGTGGACCGCCTCTGGCTTGGTCTTGTTTGCAAGAAGATCCCTTAGTTGACAAGCTGTCTTCATTGATGGTCAATATAATGTAAAAGGAAACTACAACTGCAATGGGGTCTTTGCAGCTTGTCATTCACGTGATACAAAACCGCCATGCCAGAGAGCAAGAACAACCCCCACAGAAGTCGTTTAGCCTTTCAACCCTTATCGGTTATTAGTAAAATCCAACTAGTGGTCTATTACCAATGTTACGTTCTGATTGGAGATGTTACGAGAATAATGTGCACTGAACTAGGAAGCTAAATGAACCAGTTGGTTTTCTTGTTAGCTCCCTAAACAATTTAGGTTGTAGGTAGCAGGTGTTGCGGAATTCTTATAACCCCGCTCGCTGGTTCAAACAAATCAAGAGGACTGTATCTTTCGATGTGACAACACGATCTAATCCAATCCAACAATCTACTGCGATGTACAATTCTCACATATTCAACGGTCGTAATGCAACGACCAACGATCAACTAACAACTAACACATTCTAAGTAATACACAGGTTTTTTCTACTATCCTTGCGTGACAGGGCTTCAAAACGGCTGAATATGCGCATTAAAACTCTGGGGTTCTTCCCGGCATTCGATTTTCAAAATAGCGGACGACGAATGAAAATTCTACACGTCATTAGAAGACTGTTTTTTGGGTTTGAGGCACGATGGCACAAATCGGAACGGTGCTGTGATTTTAATGAAGCGATCAACGCAACGCCTTGAAAAACAATATTTCACCTTTTCAGAATTCAGTCAAGGTACAGTGTTGCCGTGATATAAGGTGGTCTCGGATTGTATAAGGTTTTAAAGTTCATTTTCTTGAAGCTTCATTCTTGTATAAAATATCAAATATGACTTTTTTTTCGTTCTGATGAAAATTTTTTATCGCTTCTTGTTCGTGGGCATCGTTGACTTTGCATATGGAAGAAATGAAGGTGCATTTCGAGAGTACAGAACATTGCATTTTTTGTTTTTGCTGTCTTTACTCTCTTCTCTTGCGGCTGGTAAGCGAAACTGAAATAGGAGTCCGGCCGATAGTTGAAAGATTAGGCGTATATTTAGGCGTACAAAGTCTTGTACACACTGTTGATAACCATAATTTTGATTTGTTTTGTAAGTGACGGTGTTCGGAAAGCTTGAAGTTATTAAACTTCATGCTGTGTTAGTCCTTAGCTTCAAAACGAGCAAACTCAACCAAACAGTCTTTAATCAGGGAAAACTCAAATCAACTTCAATCTACTTACAAGAACGTCCCCGAAAATGTTTTTACAAGTATGCGATATTATGTCAGCGGTATTGACCACTACTTCATAATATCACACATGCGACTTCATTGTGTACCATGTTGTGTTTTAATTTTCTGTCACTGTGAGCTACACTCTGCGGCTGGCCGCGTGCGTCTCCAATGTTATGATGTTATTTGAGCTTATAACCAGCCTGTCATCGGCCTATTTTTGATCTTTTTTATGATGTTTTGTTTTTATGAGAGAAGGCTCGCTTCCGGCCTGTTGGGGACGTGTTTGTATACACCTATTTCAATTAAGGTTGCTCCCGTGAACCATGTTTCATAGCCTGCAGTGCAGCATGGTAAACCCTATTGTAGCGGGAAGTTTAGTCACGTTTATTGAAATAATGGAGACCATTTGTGAAAAGGCGTTCAAGAGAGCTTTTAAGTCAAATGGCTGCTAAAATTCTTAAGCATGAGCGAGCTGAAAAATTAAATTTAAAAAAATTGCCTCAAAAATAGATGAACACGTAATGTTAAGCTAGTTATTTATTGTTTTCAGTCAACAAACGCCTTGAATTGATTTTTTTTTCAACTCCATCCAAAATTCCCACATGCACGAGCCAAGCAAACTCGTTGAAAATTTGCAGCATTTGCGTATTACCACAGAGAAAACCTAACCTCCAATCACTGTCTTAAAGACTGAATTAAAAAGCCTAGGATTCAGTGTTTTGAAATACATTGTCTTAACGTTCCGCTGACATAGCATAGAAGCGTTAGCAGCGTTTGCTTTCTAGGTTTCTAGGCCCGTTGCGGTTAATAATTTACTAGAGTTGCTACAATGTTGCACCGCAGGCTATGAAACATGGATCATGCTTCATTCTTCTCAGAAGCAACCTTAATTGAAATAGGTGTATAAGGGTATAAGGTGTATAAGGTTTGTTTTCAGTCGTTCATGAACATCGCTTGCAGGAGTACCCAAACTGCCGTGCCTATCAAACGCTGTTTAACAATTATTCCTCGAGCCCGAATGGGCTCTGAGTCAATAGTCCATGACGCCGAAGCCCGAATGGGCTATTAACTCAGAGGAAGAATTGTTTTAGTAAAGTCCAATTACAAAAGGTTGAGTTTGATCGTCCGGGTGAACGTAGTCCTGAATAGGACTGTTGTTGTTGACAGTGACTGACGTTTCGACAACCTGTGCGGTAGTTATCTTCAGAGTCAAAGTGAGTTGTATCACGTCAGTTGGTGGTATTATACTCTGGTT